TTTTCGCCTAATTCTGACAAGAACTCATTCAACTCATTTGAACCATTGTATCATAAACAGTTTTTGTATTAATTTTCAGCAATATTGATTGATACTGATTGATTATTGAGGTTAGCTTAAATACGTCAAGGTCAGACCGTGTTCAGTAAATTGACGATTTAATTATTTGTCACCCACAAGATGCGCGCGCAGCACAGGTAAAATGAGAAAGGTCCATTGTGGAGTATTTAATCGTCATAATAGACCTATCTATTTTACCAGACAAAGAGGTAATAATACGAAATCTTTATTAGATAGAAAAAGACGCAGAACGCTTATTGCGCAAGATGAGGCAAAACGTACCAAATTATGTAAGACTTACTTAAATTAATGAGTGTGTTTTATTTCAAATTGTTCGGATTTTTAACATCATTTAGTGCCCGGAGTCTTTGTTATTGTTCAGCTAGCCGGCCAACGAGAGGCACCAAATGATCGTTAATATGGCGCCCAACGAGTTTATAAGGTAAGTTGAATAACAGTGAATTATTCAGGACCACCCCTCATATCAACCTGAAGAATCCCGAAAGATTTTGATTATAAATAATATCCCTAATTAAAGAATTCAAATGTAGGTATAATAAAAACAAAAGGTACCTTAACCTCAATTTTTTTTTCATTTAAAAGAATATAATATTATCTACCAAATTTATACCATAAATACTGTAAATTCAGGTTATTATAATCTAAATAGACGTGCAATTCTCTTGTTCATTTATTTTAATCAAAACATAACTGCTTGAATAGATTTTTTCCCCAATTAAGTAAGTATCGTATTTAATTAACAAAGAAAACAAATGTTTTGTTTGAATTGAAGGGTCTATGACTATTTCTAATGTTTGTTCGAATCTTCAGTCAAATAATTAAACACTTATAATTAATTGTATCACTAATTTGCCTTAAAACATTGTTCACTTAATTATACTAGGTGTATTCTTACGATTCTTGAAAATTCATGCTAGCTGGTTTACTGTTGACGTTATTATAACTTGTGGCCACTCTTATCTTTTCGGAAAAAACTTTAAAATGTCAGATGATCAAAGTGATGACGAATTTTTCGACTCGATAGACTATTCGAAAAACTATCTGGAAATAAGTGAAATCAAAAGGGATGATACTTACATACCAGCTACTAGAGCAGCCTTCCAGACTCAACCTCGACAATTTTTTGAAGCTGGTCATCATAAATTTGTAGAGTCGAATCCATTTGCTCAGAGTTTCATGACAAATGAAAATAAGGAAAACCACGAATCAAATTTAAGTCAAATGGACATGACCGAATCATTTCTGAAAGCTGTTCAAACTATAGCCAATACTATCGACAAAAAAGAAAAACGTCCACGCCCCAAGTTTTAATGGACTAGAATTTGAAAATCCAAGCAACTTTATCACAAAACTAGAGGAATATTTCAATGAAAACAACACTTCTACTGAAGACAAAGTCGAAATAGCAGCACAATGCCTCAAAAATCAAGCATCCAAATGGTTCCAAGTATACAGAAACGCCAACTTATCATGGGATATGTTTAAATCTCTCTTCCACGAGAAGTTCAATAGTATGCAAACATTGGCCCAACTAACATCACAGCTTTATGGATCTCATCAACAGCCAAATGAACTTTGTAGCATATTCATATCAAGAAAACAAGGCTTATTCTATCGCCTTTTGCCAAATAACCCAGAAAGCTTGCTAGTGAACATGCTTATAAAGCAATTCCAGCCAGATATAAGATCCAGAATAAGAGGACTTACCTTCAATACCATCCAACAATTATCACAAACAGTTAAAACAATTGAAAATGATCTTTCACAAATTCCAAAATCCCAATCAACCAACTCTAACATGGCAAACCAAGACAGACAACAACAGAGAATGGAACGCAATCTCAATCAGTTACAGGCAATAAAACCTCCAAGCCGATGCAGATATTGCAATGAATGGCACTGTCATAGCGAGTGTCCAGACAATCCAAACAGAAGAAATGTCAGACCTCTAGGAGAACAGCAGGGAAACTCCAATGGGGAACGTCGACCAACAGCACCTTCCCTTCATCGTTCAAATAAATACCATTTCACAAATGAATTCTCCACCGAAAATTCAAATTTCCATTGATGACTTCAAAATAAAAGCTCTTCTAGATTCTGGTACATCAATAAACTTGATATCAGCAAAATTTTTCAAAGTTCACCCAACACTCAGAGAAAAAACATTGAACTTCGGTTGTGGACCTGTCAAAATTCAAACTCATGGTTTTATGGAAGTGAAATACTTCATTCTTGATGTGGAATTGATATCAGAATTCTTCGTCATTCCTAACTTGCCAGACGATTGCATTTTGGGCTGCTCCTGGTTTTTCGATCAACAAGTCGTCTTGGATATGAATAGATGTTGTCTTCATTTTGGAAACCAGCTACGACGTATTGTTTATTTTTGTTCAAATGTCGAATCCTGATCGCCACAAATATCAGAATTTCAACTAAACCATTTGAATGAGGACTTACAAAGAAACTATCAACAAATGTTATCAGAGTTTTCATACTTGTTAGATGATTCATTGTAGAGACCAGTAACTCGTTCAACTGAACACGTTATTCAACTCAAATCTAACTCCATAGTTAATACCAAACCTTATCCATTAAGTGATCACAAGAAAAGAATAATGAATGAGCAAATCAAAGAAATGCTTGCGAGTGGGATTATTGAACCTTCTGTATCACCATACTCAAGTTCACCACTTATCATAGAAAGACCCGGTAGAAAACCTAGATTTTGTGTGGATTATAGGCGTTTAAATGAATTGACTGAGGATGAATGCGTAAGACTCCCTAAAATTCATGAAACCTTGAAAGAACTCGGTGATGCCACAGTATTTAGTTCGTTAGACTTACGAAGTGGATACTGGCAGGTTGGTCTTTCAAATCAAACGAAACCCCTTACCGCGTTTTCAACTTCTGACGGGCAACACTACCAATTTACGGTAATGCCTTTTGGGTTAAAAAATGATCCAAGCAGTTTTCAAAAACGTATGTCTCAGGAAGTTATAACAGGGTTTTTGCATAAATTTGCTGTAGTTTATCTCGATGATATTATCATCTATTCAAAAAATCATGATGACCACAAAAAGCACGTAAATAATTAGTCTTGGAAAGACTCAGCATTCATCAGCTTCAGTGTTCATTGTCAAAGTGTAGATTTGCCACAGATAATTTGGATTTCCTGGGACATACTATTAATGGCCCATTAAACTCACCTCAATCTTTCTATTTGGAAGAAATTAAAAATTTTCAACCTCCAAAAAACAAAAGAGAATTGCAATCATTTTTAGGTATCTACTGTTAATTGGCTGAGAGAGTATGTGTCTCACCTGGCTGAAATCGCGGCTCCCTTGACAGACTTACTCGCGAAGAAAGTAAAGTGGAAGTGGGGTCATGCAGAATAACTTGCATTTGAAGAAGTTAAAGAGGCTGTTTCACAACCTTTACAATTACATAGGCCAAATAGCAATTTACCCTTCTACTTGCAGACTGATGCGAGTGAGGTGGGAATGGGCGCTGTTCTTTTCCAGCTTAATTCAGATGGAGAGAGATATATTATCTCTTATGCTAGTGTAAGTTAAGCAGAACAGAAAGGAAGTACCATATAAATGAAAAAGAATGCCTTTGTGTTATATGGGCAATAAAAAAATATAGAATTTATCTTGAAGATCAAAAATTTACCCTAATTACAGACAGTCGAGCGCTTTTGGGGCTTAATAAAAATTCTGATGCCAAAGCCAAGCTCACACGTTGGTCCTTATTGCTGTCAGAATTTTCTTTTCAAATTGAACATTGTCCAGGCAAATTAAATGAATTTCCAGACTTCCTTTCAAGAAATGCTGTGAATGAAACTATCTCCCAAGAAGTAACAGACCTATATCCAGATGATTCCCACCAGATTTAGACAATCAAAATAAACATTAATTAAATGATATTCCTAATGTTAAACTAATTTACCCTATCAATGACGCTTCACCTTTTAATGAAATTGCAATAGCTCAAACTAATAACACAAGAATCCAAGAGGACATACAACTATGGAAAGAAATTGAACAAAATGTTACAAATTCAACTTCTAAAAAAGCATTCTTTGATTTTTACAAGGTTCAAGATAACTTATTATTTAAACGTGACACCAATCAACTAATAGTACCCTATAACTGCATAGACAGAATCCTTTATTGCTATCATGATTCCCTTTTTGCAGGACATCCAGGAAGGGATGAAACTTTCACTACTATTTCCAAGTTTTACTATTGGTCACAAATTCGAAAAGATATTTCTAAATACGTACAAAATTGTATATGTGTAAACTTATCAAGGGCCGTAACTTACAAACACAAGCACCTTTAACCGCTCACTTTTCTAATAATCCAGATGAAGTTTTTAGTATTGACATATTAGGACCTTACCCCCAGGCTACTTCGGGAGATCTTTTTATAATTGTCATTGAAGATATATTCACCAGATGGGTCGAAGCTAAAACAACCCATACGGCTACAGCTAAAGACTTAATTAATTTTTTAGACACTGATGTTTTTCCGAGGTTAGGGTACCCAAATCTGCTTATTTCGGACAACGGAACACAACTTCAGGCCAGTGTCTTTCAAGAATATTGTAAATTACACAAAATCGAAACTTTCACAACTGCTATTTATCATCAACAAGCAAATCCTATTGAACGCAGAAATCAAGAAATAAAAAAGACTTTTAGAGCATTTTTGTTTAATAAAAGCGTAGATCACTGGCCCAAGTATGTGCCCCGCGTCCTCTTTTGCTTAAGGAATCGTACCAATGCAGCAACAGGACAATCTCCCGCACAAGCCCTTTAGGGATACTCACTTCCATCACCAGGAGGAAGAAATCACCCTGTGTTCAAAGTTCCTGTGGTCAATCATGCCCATGTAAGAGAAGAAAAGCTTACCAAAATGAGAGAGAAACAAATCCAGTACCAGAAGAAATATGTTGGCAAGAAGAAGAAACCAAATTGCTTTCAAGTAGGAGATAAAATCATTCAAAGATGCTTCAAGAATGATGCATTTGGTCTAGCTTGGGAGGGACCTTATGAAGTTTTAGAAGTTTTATCGGAATCAATTTATAAAATAAGACGAAACGATTCAGACGTCAAGGTTCACATTGACGACTTACGCCTTCTTCCAGAAAAACAACCACTAAGTTATGAAATGTCAAACCTTGACTCTGAAGAAGAAGACGACTACAACGAAGATGACAATGGACAGCTCAGTAATAATGAGTTCAACATGGAATATTTTCCCGATAATGACAAATTTCATGACCAAGAAGGACATCTAGGAAATGAAATAGAAGAGTTCCTTTTATCCTTAGATGAATTTGAGGAAGACCGTCACTCTGAAAATGATGGAAGCTACGTACCGAATTTGATATCATCAGTGCCTGATAGCAATCAAACACAACCCCAAACTAGGCCGAACAAAACACGAACATGCAAACCTCCTGCATACTTGCAAGACTACATTTGTGATTAAGTTGCAATAAATTGCAACACAGTTGCACTCAGACGGATGAACTGAGGTAATCAACCACCACAAATCAAATATCAAACAATTACAGCCTGCCAGACGGATGAGCTGAGGCAATTTACCCAATGAATAAGCAATCACATCATGGAACGACAACCAACAGACGGAAGAACTGTACCTAAGGTTAAAATCAATCAAACATAATTAGAACTTAATATTATTTCTCAATTTCAAAGGATAACGCACACCTAACATGGGATTTTTGGGCTCTATGGATTTTGCCCATTTTTTGACATGTTGTAGAGGATTTAATTCTGAACAACCTTTAAATGGGACGAAATTTTGTAGGTACTACGGTCTTTGAGATATGAGAGTTGAAAGAGGAACTTTTTTGCGACTTTTTGTGTGGAGAGTATACGAGAGACTGGTGCTACTGGTGTTTATCAGTCAAAATATTGACAGGTTCAAATATTTTACGTCACTCACAAATGTCAACATAAGCTAAGGCCGAGACCGCACTGGCGCCAACATTGACCGCAGTGCGGTCCCGGCCTTAATCTAAGTTGACATATGTGAACCTGTCAATATTTTGACTGATAAACACCAATATCACCAGTATCTCGTATACTCTCCACACAAAAAGTCGCAAAAAAGTTCATCTTCCAACGCTCATATCTCAAAGACCGTGATACCTACAAGATTCCGTCTCATTTAAAGGTTGTTCAGAATTAAATCCTCTACAACAAAAACCTGTTTTAATTATGAAAATGTAAAAGAAAAACGGAAACTCAAAAAATGTCCAAGGTAACGTCAAGTTCGCTGCGAGCTTCTGCCTCGAGCGAGTCCCTCTCTTTCTCTCCAAAGACGCGTGCAGCGGCATCTGGTGTACCGCACTATTATCAAAAACAATCAGCAGGCTAACTTGAGTGACAGCCCGTGTAATAAAGGAATTCACGGTCGGGATGTCACTAGCGGCCATTTTGGGATACGAGACAGGGCCTGATTAACAATAATTTAGGTTTTTTCTTCCGTGTCACAGAGTCGTATTCGCTTTAAATAAATTAATTTATTATTACTTACATATAATAATATTTATAATTAGTAATTTATTATTATTATTAAATATACAACAATGATAACAGATAACACCATAAATGACAACACGAATATACTAAAATCACTTTGAAAATCATAACTAAAATTCTGCTCTACACCGCACGCCTATGACCTCTGTCAGAAATAAACAAATAAAATAAAATTTCGGCGTCCCTGCCGTTTACTGACAGTATGGTATCCCATAATGGCGGCATGCGCAGAAAAGATGCGCGTGAGAGTTAGCCTGCTGATTGTTTTTGCTATTATTACGGCTGTCAACGCAGTGGCTGTGAAATTACAGGTTTCTTCAACACCTATCCATAACACCCCCCCTGCTGAGAACATGTTTTCGGCATTAAAGTTCGGCGCGTTCATTACTACAAAACACCCTAAAAAAACAACAAAAAAAATAATTACATTTGAAAAAGAAAAATAAATAAAGGATAACGCACACCTAACATGGGATTTTTGGGCTCTATGGATTTTGCCCATTTTTTGATATGTTGTAGAGGATTTAATTCTGAACAACCTTTAAATGAGACGGAATCTTGTAGGTATCACGGTCTTTGAGATATGAGCGTTGGAAGATGAACTTTTTTGCGACTTTTTGTGTGGAGAGTATACGAGATACTGATGATACTGGTGTTTATCAGTCAAAATATTGACAGGTTCACATATGTCAACTTAGGTTAAGGCCGGGACCGCACTGCGGTCAATGTTGGCGCCAGTGCGGTCTCGGCCTTAGCTTATGTTGACATTTGTTAGTGACGTGAAATATGTCGACCTTTCAAAATTTTGACTGATAAACACCAGTTTTTGGTATACTCTCCACACAAAAAGTTGCAAAAAAGTTCATCTTTCAACGCTCATATCTCAAAGACCGTAACACCTACAAAATTTCGTCCCATTTAAAGGTTGTTCAGAATTAAATCCTCTACAACATATCAAAAAATGGGCAAAATCCATAGAGCCCATGTTAGGTGTGCGTTATCCTTTATTTATTTTTCTTTTTCAAATGTAATTATTTTTTTTGTTGTTGTTTTTTTAGGGTGTTTTGTAGTAATGAACGCGCCGAACTTTGATGCCGAAAACATGTTCTCAGCAGGGGGGGTGTTATAGATAGGTGTTGAAGAAACCTGTAATTTCACAGCCACTGCGTTGACAGCCGTAATAATAGTGCTGTACACCAGATGCCGCTGCACGCGTCTTTGGAGAGAAAGAGAGGGACTCGCTCGAGGCAGAAGCTCGCAGCGAACCTGACGTTACCTTGGACATTTTTTGAGTTTCCGTTTTTCTTTTACATTTTCATAATTAAATAGTTATTTTCCTAACAAGTGCGCAAAGTGATACTTTCCCGCACGAAAAAGCAGTTAGACGAACGACGCGAAGCGGAGTTCGGATAAGCTTTGAGTGCGGGAAAGACACTTTGCGCAAGTGTTAGGAACAATATTTTTTCTACGAGTATCTTAAAAAAGTAGACTTTGAATTGTTAAAATAATAGGAAAATCAATCAAATCAAAATCTTCAAAAATCGTTTGAAATATATTGGAATTCCTCAAAATGTCTTTCAAATTAAATCCCCAAAAATCTTTTAACATCTTCTGGAATTTCTAGAATACCAGCTAGAATATTTTCATGAGAGTCTCTCAAATATCAAAAATTGTACAAATTCCTAGCAGTACAGGCTGGTTCAATTTGGACACCTTTGATAGGAAACATCATGTTAGCTAAGCGCTAATTTCAACTAAAACCCTTCATTTTGAATATTAGTTTATTCAGAAACCATCAAAACATTGAAAAATCAAGTATAACTATGGTAATCATGCATAACAAAAATGAGTGCGCAAAGAGTTTCCGTGCGCAAAGTTCAACTTTGCGCACGAAAACGAGTGTGCAAAGTGATTACTTTGCGCACGCAAGTAGAAAAACAGGTTTTTCGCATCAAAAAGTTCGGCAACACAATTAGAAAATTAATGAGTGTGTTTTATTTCAAATTGTTCGGATTTTTAACATCATCTAACTAAAATCTCTCGACAGTAATGAAACACTTTCCACTTCGGTATGTAATATACGATTAACGAGCTTGCGGAAAGTAGGTACACTTTATCAAAGTTTAACTTTACCGCACCTATTTGAAAGTGAATAGTAATAGTAAAGTAGCACTTTAGCGCATAGTTTGCGGTAAAGTAGACTGCTGTAAAGTTTACTGTAAAGTTCCTTTATCGCATAGGGAGTAGTAGAGTTTGGCAATTAGAATCAAAAATCCCTTTTCTTTCAGAATTTCAATAATGGCTTTTATTTTGGAGATGTAACTATTCGCTTCTGCTTAATAAGAATCAGTTTTATTCCTTTCCTTACCGTTCACTTTCAACACTACTAAAGGATCTCTCATTGGAATAATGTTAGTCAAGTCTCTCATGGTAAAATCACCAGCTGGATGCACCTGATCCGAACGGAATGTTCCGGAATTTAAAATTACCAAATCTGCACCAGTAGCTGCAAGTACTACATCACAAACCTGTTAAAAATATTTATTGATATTTTGTAATAAAATTGTTATTGCATTTACCCAGTTGCCCAAATTCGATTCTGAAGTTCTTATGGAAGTAAAACGACCATCCAAAGGCACAGAAAAACAGCCTAATACGTCATCCATTTTTGACTGAACTACACCTATAAATAAATTTGAGTGAATAATAATTCATTATTGACAAAAAAAAATTCTCACTTGTATATTTTTCTAACTTTTCTTTCAATTTTATATCCTCGGCATATTGTGCTGTAACATTCATTTCTTCGATAGTAACTTCAGGTGTGCTGCCACTTTTAACTTTTTCAAAATTAACAGTAATTTTACTAAATTGCCTGAAATCCGTTCCACTTTTGATGATATATTTTCCGTTTATCAGTTTGATTTCATAGACGTGATCGTGACCGCCTAATATCAAGTCGATTTCTTCACAATTTTCAGCTAGTTTTATATCGTTGGGTGTGCGCATGTGAGTTAAAGCTATAACATAATCACAGCCCTGCAATTAATAATTAAGTTTTCTGTAAGGACTATAAATGAAATGTTTACCTCTTGTTTTAGCTGAGCAGCCAACTTTTGTCCAGCCTCGACGAAATCCAAAAAAGTGACTTCTTCTGGATTTATAGTAGCCAAAGTGTCCAACCACTCTTTTTCCACTAATCCCACCAAACCTATTCTTCGTCCTGCCCAATGGACTACATGAGTTATTCTACCTTCGCCTAGAGGACGTCCTGTTTCGTTATCTACTACATTGGACATGAGCCATGGAAAATCTGTTTGACCCACCCATTGCGATAACACTTCTAAGCCATGATCTAAAAAATGCAGGCAAGATTTTAGTAGAGCATTTTCAACAAATTAAAATAACTCACCAAAATCATGATTTCCTAATACTGCACAATGTGTTCCTATTTCATTTAATACTGGTACCATTTGTTCTCCTTTCGTGAAAGTGCTTACTGGAAAAAATATCAATAATTAGGTACCTATAATATACCATTATAGTAGCTATTTCATTTTTAAGATATTGTTGGTATTGGCGCAGATCTTTTTGCTTTAGGTACATTATAGGTATAAAGAAGTAGAAAATTCTTACACATGCTAGGTGAGAAGGCATCTCCACTAAATAATACTAATGGATTTAAATGCTGCAGACTTTTGATAGCTGTGCAAAATCTGGCTGCGCCTCCAATTGGTTCAGGACTCGGTCTAGATTCTACATTGTAGACATCGTTGAAATGAAGAATAACAATACTGTCCATATTTGAACCGGCCAACGTATTCACCGCTCGACGGCCGGCTGCTCGTACTTCTAAAGACGCCTGTAATTAAATTGAAAATTATTTATAATTTTACCAAGTAACTATACTGAAAAAATTTACTATTTTGAGGAGTAAATAGAATAAAAACTGAAAAAGCCGCTGATGAAAGAAACACCAAATTGGTAAAGTAATGAGGTAATTTTGAAGGACAATCAGATAGAATTATTATGCATTGCATTTGTGACAAAATTCTCTATTCGCCTAGTTAAAAAAAATAAAAAAAATCCAGTTGTGTTTCCACTTTATTAATTTAATTTTTCTTTTTGTATAAGATCAGCTATGGCTTTTTCAGTTTTTTGCTAAATTTGCTTAAATAGTCACTTACTGGCGGCAAATTTAAAATCATTCGTATATTGTTGAAGCAAAGCAAATTGAAATGATGATAAAATGACAGTTTTGTCAAAAACACTTATTAGCTATTACCTACGTATCTACCTCAAATTAAAACCACAAAAAAAAAACCAATAGATTCATGATGATGAAAAATACAACAAAACCATGCCAATTTCTATTACAACTAACCATCGAGGTAACAACTAACAAATCAAATCAAAAAAGCTTTCTTCGAATGATGGATTTTTATTTTGCAGATTTTTTGTCTATTGGTTGAAAATTTTCAGATTTCACATTGCACGAAAATATTGCGTATATCTCCATAACAAGCCAAATCATCATTTTTTGATGCAAAATAAACGTTTTTGGGCGTGGCATCCGCAAAAAATTTCTGCTTCCGCCGGCACCTGCGGCGGGCTTTCTCTCTTCTTTTTTATTTGAAAACGGTTTGCCCGAAATGCCTGAATCTGGCCCCTTTCAAAAATATAATCTGGCACAAAATTTTGAGAGCCTGTGGCAACACTGGAAGAAATAACAAGAAACAACGTGTGAAGAAAGACTACTGTTATTTTTGGATTTTTGTTTTTTTGTAATTTCTAATTTTTGATTTACTGAGAAAACTTAAATTCAGAGTTTTGTTCTTTTGCAATTCCAAAGAGGTTTGCTGAAAAGAATGAAATCAAAAATAAAAAGTAACTAAGAATTTACGAACCCACGACAACAAATAATTTTAAGAAAAAGCAATCATTCTTATGCGGTGTTAAGTGATTGACCAATTATTCATAATTTTAATTTTAAAATAAAAATAAAACTTTTCAATTTTGAATTTTTAAATTTTCAAAATAATTTCTTTTAACAATTCAAAAAAATATACAGGGTGTCCACTTAGTACGATATCAGACGATATCTCCTTACAGGGTGATGCAAGAAAAAAAAATTGAATTACAAAGATGTTTGATACTCTAATATGCATTAGTTAAAAATATTTTTGAATGTACAGGGTGCTCCGTTTATGGGGTATGCGCGATAACTTTGTTCTTTTAAATGGAACATCCTGTATGTGACTGCATATTTGGATTCTACGTAAAATTCTGAATAAGTTTCATGTAATATACCCTATACCTAAGTTCAACTGTTTTGGAAATATTAACAATTGAAAATTGACTTTTAGCAACTTTGACAGGCTGTAAATCCTAAACGGTTAATTTTAGACGAAAACCGATTTCACATTCCTATCTTAGATTTTCATAAACTATCATTTGACACCTACTTTGAATTTAATCCATGTTTAAAAATTCCAGTTAAATTTAATCTCCGGTTAAATTCAAAGTTGGTGTCAAATGACAGTTTATGAAAATCTAAGATAGGAATGTAAAATCGGTTTTCCTCTAAAATTAACCGTTTAGGTTTTACAGCCTGTCAAAGTTGTAAAAAGTCAATTTTCAACTGTCAATATTTCCAAAACACTTGAACTTAGGTATAGAGTATATCACATGAAATCTACTCAGAATTTTACGTAAAATCCAAATATGCAATCACATACAGGACGTTCTATTTAAAAAAACAAAGTTCTCTCGTATACCCCATAAACGGAGCACCCTGTATATTCAAAAATATTTTTAACTAATGCATATTAAAGTATCAAACAACTGTGATTTAATTTTTTTTTCTTGCATCACCCTGTAAGGAAATATCGTCCGATATCGCACTAAGTGGACACCCTGTATATGTCAGATTCTGAAAAAGAAATCGAGAATCTCTTGACTCAATTCAATTTAACTCATCTTTACAATTCCAATTCAAGAAGTAACAACCAGAATCAAAGACCAGCCGTAACAATGAGTGAAAATTTAAAATCAATTGTTCAACTTATCAAACCTTTCAGTGGCGAAAGCCAATATTTAGAATATTTCATAAGAAACATCAATAGAGGGGATCCTTCAAACCTGTAGCCTCATTAGGTGTTTTTCTTCAAATTTTGTGATATCTTTGAACCATGAACCTGAATTTTGCCAAAATTTTAACAGTTTTAGTTGTGAACTCACAATTCATTTACAATATATAAATTTTAAAAATGTCAAAGTCTTTTCGGAAGTTCTAAATGCCATGGAATTACGATTTTGAGTGATTATTCATATGACTTCAGATTTTTGTCTTCTCAATCTGAAAACCCTGTGAAAATTCGACATGGCATAACCAAAGAAATTTGTTTGTTGTGTTTATTTTGCAGACCGGCTTCTTAAGTTTTCACAGAAACACCACGGAAACTGGGTCAATCTAAGCTGTACAAATTAACACCACAGATTAACACTTGATGGAGGAAAGAAAAGTTTTATTATGAAATTATATGAAAAAATAGCTTAGTGCGCCTGCGCATGTTTTTGCAAGATAAAGGTTAAATTGGTTACCCAATTCCAATAACTCTATAAAAGAATGCCCAATAAAGGACACGCAGTAATAAAATATAGCCTGGTTTTATTATAGGATGTCACTATTTTCGACATCTATATCTCTCTATTATCCCATAACATAGGCCGAGTTCGTTTTTGTCATATTTTTCGTCGATTTCCTCCGAAATTTTGACAGGCACGTGATTTGTAACTTGAAACTGTCTTATCCAGTCACGTGCCTGTCAAAATTTCGGAGCAAATCGACGGAAAAGATGACAAAAACGAACTCGGCCATAAATAACTTAACGGAAATAAGTTTACCTTATGCTTATGAACTGTTTGAGATATTTATTATAGAACAAATGACTTCATTAGTAAATGCTGAATATTGTAAATGACCCTATAAAGTCGCTACGTATTAATCATTTGAACTCGGAGGAATTTGATGGTTTAAAACACGTAATATCTTTTCCTAAAATTTTCCATAAGCCAAACAAAAAATTGACATTCACCAATCAAGTCAAACACGAAATTAAAACAACAGATGAAATACCAGTGCACGTATAGATATCGTCATGTGCATAAACAAGAAGTAAATTCTCAAATAAAGAAAATGTTAGAAGATAACATAATCAGACCATCCTGTAGCCCTTGGTCATCCCCTGTGTGGATAGTACCTAAAAAAGAAGGGTCGTTAATTATAGAAAGATAAACAAAAAACAGGGGCGGATACAGGCCTTTTGAAAGGGGGGGGAGGGGCAGTTTAAGTTAAAGTAAACCAAATTAAGCCATATTGGGTTAGTTTGGGTTAGTTTTGGCGGTGCATTGTGCAAGATACAGTTTTTCGAAGGAATGGCCCATAAAAATATGGGAATGGGGAAACTACTTAGGAGAATAAGGTGATTTTAAATAGGTAGGTAACATAATATTATTGATTTTGTATGAATATTTATTTATTGGAACAAAAAAAAACAATATATCAACTCAACCACTACTTAGGTAGTGACAATAGTGCGTTCGATAACATGGTTGTTGGTATAAACTAAACTCCAAAAACTGGAATGATGTAAAGTCTGTTTTTTTTTTAAAGATAAAAGTCAAAATGACATTATGTTGGCAATACAATGTAAAATTGTCAATGCTTTCAATTTTTTATGTAGAAAAGGCTTGTGTTGCCAACATAGTTACTATATTTTTGATTTGGGGAGTTAACTTTAAAAAAAAAACAGACTTCACTGTTTGAGCTTAAAGTTCTTAGGACAAAAGTGTGATTTTTTTATAGGTTTCCAGGGCTGGGACTCTGTAACGAATAGAGATCCTCTCTCTATCTCTATTGACGTCCTCTACTGATTTCGAAAGGAAAGAAAAAGATAGCAAGTGCCATAGCGATAGGGATTACGATCTCTATCCTTTACGAAGTTCCACCCCAGCTCTCTAAACATTCTTGAAACTTAAAATATGGTTTTGTTTTCTTTTTTTTTAAATTTTATTATTTTATTTTAAAATGTCCCCGCCACTGACGAAAAAACCATTAATGATATCCATTACCTAATATCACGGATATATTAGATCGACTTGGATGTAGTAATTATTTTACGACGCTAGATTTAGCCTCCGGCTTTAATCAAGTCGAGATGCATGAAAATTCGATACCCAAAACAGCATTTAATGTTGAAAATGGTCATTACGAATTTAACAGGCCCTTTGGATTAAAAAACGCCCCAGCGACATTCCAAAGAGTGATGGATAATGTATTACTAGGATTACAGAAAAGAATATGTCTAGTTACTAGTATACATGGATGATATAATAATTTTTTCCACTTCATTTCATGAACATGTGAAAAATTTAAAGAAAGTATTCGAGAAGTTTAATTTAAAAATACAATTAGACAAATCAGAATTCCTACACAAGACAGTAAAATTCTTAGGACACGTAATTACATCAAATCGGATAAAATCGAATCCAAAAAAGATAATGGCAATTAAAAAAATCCCAATACCAAAAACGGTGAAGGAAATAAAATCATTTTTAGGATTAGTAGGTTATTATCGAAAATTCATAAAGAATTTTGCCAAATTGACCAAACCAATGACATCTTGTTTGAAAAAAGACAAAAAAATAATAAATAATGCAGAATTTCTTAAAAGCTTTGAAACTTGTAAAAATTTATTAATAAATGACCCTATATTACAAGATCCTGACTTCAAGAAACCTTTCTTATTGACAACCGATGCCTCAAACTATGCAATTGGAGCTGTTTTATCTCAAGGTCCT